CAATTTCAATATATATTCTCCAGAATCCAACAAAATCAGTTTCTAATCAATTAAACAAGTCCAATAACTAAAAATTCCCAAATTTCATTCATTTCCAACAATAACTGTTCAAACTCGAACCCTAACTCAAAATTATTCAAATCTAACCAAAATCAAACTTTCTCAAGCTTAAAATCTGAATCAAAGAGTGGGTTTCAAAGGGTTTTACCTCAAATCAGTTGCTCGAGCTTCGTCTCCCTCAATTTTTCTGTTTTTCGTTTTTTTTTTCTGAGATTTTCGGCCAAATTGCCGAGAGAGAGAGAGAGGGAGAGAGAAACCCGGAAAGAGAGAGCAAGGGAGAGAGAGGACGCCGGCGGGAGGAAGCCCGGAGAGAGAGGTGGCCGGCGGTGGAAGAAAATGGAGAAGGAAAGAGAGAGAGAGAGGGGCTGTGCGTGAAGAACCAGAGAAGAAGAAGAAGAAAGAAAAGAAAAAAAAGAAAAAAAGGGGGGGGGCTGGAGCACGGGAAGGGAAAGGGGGAAAAGAAAAAAGAAAAGAACAAAAAAAGAAAAAGAAAAAGAAAAGAAAAGAAAAGGAAAAAGAAAAATGGAAAAAAAGGGAAAATGTATTAAATTTAAGTGTGTTTTCCAAAAATCTTTGAGGTGTAATTATAAATATTAAAAATGACTTAAAGTCCCTTAATTAATTATGAAAATCAAATTAGGCACACTAATAATCCACAGTTTAGCATAATTAAACATGTTTAATTTTAAAGGGCGTTACAAAAATTAAGTGGCAATATTAATAAAATATTAGTAGCAATTACTATTTCTTGAGATTATGATCTATCTTGATTGCAGTCTTTTATTTCCCTAAATGATAATTCACTTGAATACATTAAAAAATATACACAATAAGATTCTTTTCTTAAAAAAAATAAAAAATAATAATAATTAGCAAGATGGGGCCTTAGCTCATTGAGACCCCCTTGAACTGCCGCTCCTGAATATGAGTTATGTAGCCATCAATTACTTTGTGAATTCGAGTTTTTTTTTTTTTTTTAAATTAGTCTAAATATTTAGAAACATACGGCAGAAGCTCTCTTTTTCTTTTCTTTTTTTTAAAATTTAAACATTGTTATTGATCTCTACGGTAATGTATTACGTATAGCGCTACTTTTCACATTGTTATTGATCGCCGTGACCTCACCATCATGTTTGCTTTCACCAACATGACCAACAAAAAGAGATTATTTTTATAATCTTTTGTTGGTCAATACGTTAATCTGAGATTTAACAATATATATATATATATATATATATATGATCAAAGGCAGCGAAGGTGGACAAATTTCAAAATAAGTACACTATAACAATTAATATAAAGAAGATTCTTTAAAAAAAATCTACACAGAATTCCATGAGAGAATAGAAGGGGGAAAAACATTCAATTCATGGAGTACAAGTATCACGTGTAACAAATGCCGAAACAAGAAAAAAACAGACAAAAAAAAAAAAAAACGTAAAAAGCCATGAGAATATACAATAACTTATGTGTAGACATCATTAGCCTCTGAAGTAACTAAAAGGCTTAATCAATGAATTTAGCAAGCGAGCTTAAATGTCTCCCATGATAAGTTCTCTTGGAAGATTTTGCAGCGGCAATTAGGGCAAGTATTATGGTGCATGAACCACCCGGCAATGCTGACTTCGTGGTAGACATGGCCGCAAGGCATTTGCACCTTGCCACCTTTGCGCGATTTGAAGCCTTTCATGCAAACCGAACACGTGAAGACGACCGCCACAACGGTCGGCATGGCCCAACCGTGAGCCTCCCCGGCAATGGATTGTTGAGTGTGAATGTGACTATATTTGAGGGAAAGGCAAAAAGTTCATCGGTTCGCCACCTTTGAACTTGGGTTTATTTCGTTTCAAGGATGAGACTACTATTGACTTTAATATTTATGCTACAAAACTTTTTCAACCTTTTTGATAAGTTGGCGAGAGAAAAGGAACACGTCGCATATCGTATGTTTTGTTGAGAAGAGGAAGGATTAAGGATAGAGAGGAGAATTAAAAATTTTACTCTTCATGTTACGAGAATTGACCTCTAACGAGCAAACGCATTAACAAATCTAAGTGACAATAGCAAACAAAACAAATAAGTTAATAATACGTTTCTTTGACTTGATCATTCTTAGCAAAATATATAAATAAATATACAAAGGAACCAAAATCCAGAAAATATATATAGTGCAGATAATAATAAAAAATAAAAAATAATAAAAAATAAAAAACATCTGAAAAGTCTTCGAAGAAAGAAATTAATTTGTTCTTGGAGTGGCCCATTCCACTCGGAGGATGAGATTGTCATAACCATAACCATTGAGCTTGTTGATAGCTCTCTGAGCGTCGTCTCGGTTCACAAAGTTAACGAAACCGAATCCTCTGCTCATTCCTGTGTTTCGATCAACAGCAACATGAACACGGCTTACATCACCAAAAGCTCCGAAAAGCTCACCCAAGTCGGGCTCTCGTGTATCTTCTGAAAGGTTGGCGACCCGTACCGAGTTCTCGTCGCTTCTCCGTCGACTCCCATGATCAGCACCGCCACTTGTTGCCACCGCCGGTCCTCCTCTCATGCTAGGAGGAACATATGCCTTACGTGAGCCAGAACTAGTAGGAGCTACGGCTTCTGATGCAGCAGGCTTGTCAATAAATCCATCACGAGCTGGCGGTGCGAGATCCTTGTATGGGCACCTCGCAGTCCAGTGGTCGCCCTTCTTACCACAAGTTCTACAAAGCATGAGAGTACCGGCATCATTTTGCTTTTGAGACACGAAATCTGCAGTCTTTGTCTCTTCTGGCTTGCTAGCTGCAGGTCAATTGTTTTAGAACAAAAGTGATCAATAAAAAGGATGATGCGTGCTAACTGTATTTAAATTTTAAACTGGCCTGTAAGTATAGTTTTCTGTTTTAAACCTTAATTAACGATTCATATTGTAGGAGAATGAATGTTACATTGTGAATATGAAAAAGTGCAAGGTGTTATACGGGTTATAAATTAGGAGAAATTTTTGTAATTAATCCTAAATAATAAATAAAATAACTAAAGGAAAGTCAACCGTCATTTAGCACTTAAGAGAACTTAGGAACTGGTCCATTAGGCATTAATAGCAAATCTGAATCGCATAAAACTAAGCAAATACGTTCTTAATGATCATATACAGAATAAATTATCAACTGACATGACATCAGTAAGCATAATTATATGTGAGCGCATCAATCAAAAGATATGGCCTTGCAATTTACAAGCCACTCATTCCAAGTATAATGGGGAAACTCCTATGCCTTAGCTACAAGAATTCAGTAAATAATTGCTTCTTTTTTGTTTTTTATTTCTTGTTCCTTCATTGTTCTTCCCAAAATCAAGTGTAAAAATAACCTGTCCTTCCATTTATTAGTCGAATTTAAAGTTTCTCACCTAAAATTCTCACCGCGTAACCCAACCCTAAAATTTAATTATTCGGCAAGGAAAAAAAACTCTAGAATTTGATTTCATGATAAAAGAGACGTAAAAAATTGAAATTTCGCATAGTAAATATAGGAAAAACAACAAAACCTAACAAATTACAGAAACCATGACACGGCACCAAGAGAATAATCAAAAACCGAAATTCAAAAGTAAGCACATACCAGAAGCCCAAGTTCGTTCAAAGTTGATAACTTCAGTGGAGACCATGGTGAGTCCGCTACCGACGTCCTCGTGCATGGCGTCACCGAACTTGGGCAAGGAGCGGCGCTCGATGGCTTGCTTGCTGAGGTGGCGGGTGGCGAGCTTCCGAACTCGCGTGGTGGTGATGACCTTGACCTTGTTTCCTTCGTCGTTGAACTTGTACTCGATCACCTTCTTGATCCCATTCTCGTCAGGCCCGATGACCTGACGCGGGGGCAAGAGGAAGTCGAGGTTCTCGCCGTCGTCCTCGTCGAACTCTGCCCACCGGAGTTTCGTTGCCATGGCTGTGGCCCGTGGGTGTGTTTGTGGTGTGCGTTTGTAGCTACGTAGGAAGGCGTAAGGGAGAATGGAGAGCTATGGATCTAAAATAACTCTTAAACTGAGCTTGAGATATTAATTAAGAATGAAAAATAAGAAAGTTGAGGGCAAGGCTTATTTATATACTTATAAAACCTAAACTACTTATGAATCAGAATTCGAACAAAATCTCTAAATGGAAAAGTCCGACTTTATTAATAAGTTGTACAAAGAATAAAACTAAATATAAGCTATTTATGATATCATAGTTCAATTACAACTCTAAATAGACACGTCTAACTTTATTTTTTAAATAATAGCAATAAAATAAAATCTAAATACAAATAATCAAAATATAAATTAAATAAAAATTTTAATAAGATTCAAATACCCTATAATTGATCAACGGTAGATCAATATCACTTTATAAATTTTGGTTGAACAATGCATTGAAGCTGAGATTTACCCAAATATAGATTATCTAAGACTAAGGCATTTTAGGTCTATAAATTTGAAAATAAATACACTGTATAAGAATTAATAATACACGCTAATTTCTTTTTCTTGTTTTTTTGAAAACAATATATATACATATAATTCCATGAAAAAATTGGGCAAAAGAAAACATTCAACTCTTCGAGTACAAGTATGGCTTATAACAAATGACCTAAGACATGCACGAACCACTCGGAAATGCAGGCTTAAAAAAAAAAAAAAAAAAAAAAAAAAAAGGGTCAAAACCCGTGAAAATATACAATAACTTACGTGCAGACATCATAAGTTAAAAAGCTGAATAATAGCAAGCTAGCTTAGAAATTTCCCAGGATCAGTTCTCTTGGAAGATTTTGTAGCGGCAATTAGGGCAAGAATTATGATGCACGAACCACTCGGAAATGCAGGCTTCGTGGTAGACATGGCCGCAAGGGACTTGCTTGCCACCCTCGCCTGGTTCGAAGCCTTCCATACAAACCGAACACGCGTTGACCGGCGCCACAGCCGTCGACATGCTAACGACGGCCGAACTATTTGACACTGCCGAGCTCCGACGGCTCGGAATATCTTGAGGCAGCGTGAGTGCCTCGTCCAAATCAAAGCTCATCTCAATGGGACAGTTTGGTCGTGAAGATATAGCAGTCATATTATGGAACTCAAGAGAGAGAGAAAGATGATCAATTTGGACAAATTGAAATAAACTCAACTTTATTTTGAGTGATGAACCTATAAGCATATGTGTATATATGTGTGTGTGTGTGTGTGGTGCGAAAAGGTGGACCGTGCACTTTTGGTTGAGATTTCCTTGAAAGAGTTTGGCCCTCTATGTTGACCATATAAAGCAAGAACCGTGCCGTAGATTTTTACAAGGCCTTTTTTTTTAATGGGTCTCAATCGTTGAATACTGTTTCCACACGTATATTTGTGTGTGTGTGTACAGCTTTGTGCATGCCATCGAGGCCGGTGGGACAATAGAATAATATGAATTTGTTGAGCACCTCTATTTATTCTAATAAGGTTAAAATTTTATTATTTATATAAAGTGGATTCTGTTAAGTAGGTAGGTAAGATCTAACTTAATAAAATCCATCATTTTTTAATTTGTTAGGACCACTGTTATCTATAGTAATTTTATTTGAATTGACATCTTCCGGCTGCTACTTATCAAAAAAAAAAAAAAACTTTTTGGCTGCAATGGAGCTAGGTGCACGCGTGCACTATTCGGATTGATTGTTTGTTAAGAAACTAAAATTCAATTTTGTTCGACAAAATGTTTATATTTACATATTAGAAAAATGTTCGACAGCTTGTACATTTTATCTACACCCCAAAATTTTTATTAACACACTCAAAATGTTTAAAGTTTAAAATTATTTTCTTTTTAATATAAAAAAAAATCTCATATAATTCCACAACTGTTCTTATACGCACCCCATATATTATTTATATAAAGTGGATTCTGTTAAGTAGGTAGGTAAGATCTAACTTAATAAAATCCATCATTTTTTAATTTGTTAGGACCACTGTTATCTATAGTAATTTTATTTGAATTGACATCTTCCGGCTGCTACTTATCAAAAAAAAAAAAAAAACTTTTTGGCTGCAATGGAGCTAGCTAGGTGCACGCGTGCACTATTCGGATTGATTGTTGGTTAAGAAACTAAAAGGGAAACGAAAAGATAAAAATTCAATTTTGTTCGACAAAATGTTTATATTTACATATTAGAAAAATGTTCGACAGTTTGTACATTTTATTTACACCCCAAAATTTTTATTAACACACTCAAAATGTTTAAAGTTTAAAATTATTTTCTTTTTAATATAAAAAATCTCATATAATTCCCCAACTGTTCTTATACACACCCCATACTTAGACCATTCTGTTGAAAAGATTTTACTTTTCTTTTACTTCCCGGTTGAATAACGTTTTTTTTTTTTTTTCCTCTTTTGCTAATGAACAATAAATCTTTAAGGTGTAAATAAAATTTTCCAAATTGTAATCGCAGAATCGAGTAAGCTATCTAATATTATGAAAAACTCGTGAAAGCAAGAGATTTCTAATTTATTTTGAAAATTAATATACAAATAGAGTCAAAATTACAAATAAAGATGAACCATATAATGTAATATATTAACTTTTCTTAATCAATAAGCTACATCCACTATAAGGTCATTGAGGTTTCACTATAATCAATGGTGAGAATCACAATAGCAATTGAAAGCAATAAAGGGAAGAAAGAAGAGGGGATTCAGGAATGCAGAGAGAAAACAAAAGGAAAACTGAGAAAACAAAGGAAGGAAGAAGATGCTTTGGAAATGAAAGCCAATTTAGAAACCAAAGGAGTAGTATGTCTGCACTCTTTCGAAAAATGTAACCATTAAGAAGAGCATGGTGACGATTTGGAAGGAGAAAAAGAAAGATCACAAAAGAGTCTTCATCGAATATATTGCCTCTACCAGCACTCTTACCACACGAGACCAAGCAATTAGCAAAGCCAAAGCCGAGAAGTCGAATGTGTTTCGGTTCTTCTCGCCACTTGTTGAAAAATGTAACTATTAATGTATCTCCTTCGGAAAAGCGATAATCCAATGCCCCGAAAACCTAAGGGTAACGATTTTCTACAAAATGGTGACGAAAGATATAACAATTAATAGTGCACAGTTTTCCCATTGGTTTAGGATGAACAGTAAGAATGTTGCTAATTAACACATTTCCAAGACATTGACTGAAGTTGGAATCTCTGGATACGATCGACATTACAGGTTCGCAACCCAGATAAAATACATATTTTTTCCTTGGCATATAAAATGGATAAAAATAATGCATTGATACGTACACACACACATACTTCAATTAATTTTTGATGTTACATGTTACTTTCTGGCACTGAATTTCTCTCAAAATTTAGTTTAAGACGATGTTACCCATTACTTTATTACTTTAAAGGTCTCTTAAAATTCGGTTGGGAAAATTTTAACATAGCTTGTTACTTCATGGCTTTGCATGATTGGTGGTTATTGTCATGCACTATATGGGCCAATTTGGAATCAATGTGTTTCTCAAAAACTTTATATCCGGATTTGCTGACAGTAGAAGTTAAAAGATAGAATTTTCAGTTTCTCAAAATTGTAGTGAAAAGGGGTTGGATTCTATGCCAATCACTTTGGAAGTCGTTTACCAGACAGATTTGTTGTAAAAGTTTGCTTTTGTTTTCCAAATGCAAGATGTTGAAATTCTCTAGTAATGCAATCTGAGAACCGGCCGTGTGTAACTGTGTTTTTGTGGAGTATATATCCTGACGACTTATGACTAATGTTTTCCATTTGGCAGGTACTTCCATAGGCAAAAAAATATGCCAGAAGCGATGAACTGGGAGTACCTTTCGGGATCACGGTGGCGAGGTCGGTGATGACAATGGAGAGGGACAGCAAGGATCAAATACGAGTCAATGTGAAAGATGCAGTGATCATTGTGAAGGAGGTAACTGAGGGTCTCTTGATGTTGGGTAAGTTTCTCAAATTAATTTTAAGAAAGTTATTATTTTGTGTTTTTAGGTAAGTTACTATTTTTATTTTTAAGTAAAAGTTATTTTATGACTTATTAAGAATTTATAAATACATGTTTTGTGTGTAGGGTTTTGTATAGTCAAAAATAAGTGCAGAAAAAGAAAAGTAAGAAGAGAGATAAGTAAGAATATAAGAGGTTTTGAGCAGAGAAAAAGTGAAAATGTTTGTTAGGTGTGTAATTCTGAAATTGTTGGTAAATTTGTTTCTCTATCTTTTGTGGACGTAGAAAAATTTTTCAAAGCACATAAAACTATTGTTAGTCCACCTCCTAACAGCTTAAGCTTCTGGGATGGATTGGTAAACTAACATGGTATCAGAGCGTGAGGTCCTGAGTTCAAACTCCCGTAATTGCACTATTTATCCCCATTTAAAATTGTCATCATGTGTTAGATCTTTAATATATCTCAGACTTTAAATATTCACGTGTTGGGCTTTCCAATTAATTTACCCACACGATTGCCCATTGTCCAGCCCACACGTGAGGGGGAGTGTTAAAGTATAAAAACTATTGTTGGCCCACCTCCTAATAGCTTAAGCTTTTGGGATGGATTGGTAAACTAACATGGTATCAGAGCGGGAGGTCCTGAGTTCAAACCCCCGTAATTGCACTCTTTATCCTTATTTAAAAATTGTCATGTGTTGGGTCTTTAATATATCTCGGGCTTAAATATTCACGTGTTGGGCTTTCCAATTAATTTACCCACACGATTGCCCATTGTCCAGCCCACACGTGAGGGGGAGTGTTAAAGTATAAAACTATTGTTAGCTCACCTCCTAACAGCTTAAGCTTCTGGGATGGATTGGTAAAACTAACACGTAAAACTTTATTTTTTCTATTTTTTTATTATTTTTGTTTCAATTCATTTTTTTTATTACGTCAAAAATAAGTGCAGAAAAAGAAAAGTAAGAATATAAGAGGTTTTGAGCAGAGAAAAAGTGAAAAGGTTTGTTAGGTGTGTAATTTTAAAACTGTTAGTAAATTTTTTTCTCTCTCTTTTGTGGACGTAAAA